CTGTACATATATAGTCAAAGTCAAAGGTAGTGGGTCCCCAGTGGCTTTCATTCCCATCTAACGACTGGCGCACAGTACGCAGCAATGATGACATTGTGGCACTCATGATGGCAGTGATGGCACAGGTGGCGACAAGTGGCGACAGGTGACACTATTAGTTGAAACGTCATTCGCGTATGCGCATTTAAACTCCTAGTGACAGTAAGTCTCACGATTGCGCATCCGTGGTTTCACCAGCTTTGCCAGTAAAGATTGGTAAAGATGAAGATGGCCGCTGAGGTGAGGTGGCTCTTATTATTTCACGTGTTCTCTTATATTTCCGCCGATTTAGGGCAAACACCGCATGCTAAATTTGAGTACAAGTACTCCTTTAAGCCACCGTACCTAGCGCAAAAGGATGGTAGCGTACCTTTCTGGGAGTACGGCGGAAGTAAGTGAAACATCATAATCTAACCTTAGGGAGATGTTACCGTATGTTACTTTACCGCGACCGGGTTTCATATTATTTAAATAAACTTCACCAATATTTATGTCAGAAACAATAATTCCGATCGGACTCCATCCTTTTGATCACTTTCACAAATGGAACCATACTCTTTATTTAACAAAATTGTCTGATCTGTCACTAATAAGTGTAAATGCTTTTATTTATACATTTATTCGCTAATTTCAGATGCAATTGCCAGTGCGGAGAACGTTCGAGTTGCTCCCTCGATGAGAAGTCAAAAAGGTATGAGAGACCATCTAAAAGTTATGAAATATGTGTAATAAAATATTTTTTATAATTAGACTTGCAAATTTTTATACAAAATCATATTTTCTAAGATATACTCTGAGGAATATAATCTATCTATACAGATCTTTCATTTTTACAATTTGATTATGTGAGATTGACATTGATTATTTTATGTATTATTAGAAATCATATACAATAGCTGAATTTTCTTACATGCAAATTTTCTATAATTCCATTGAAATCTACAGGCTACTAATATATCTACGTTCACTATTACTTTGAATTATGAAAGAACTATTAAATTACTTTGCATTATGAACAACTGATGTGTGCGGACAGGTGCTATATGGGTAAAGCAGCCAGTGAATTTCGACTGGTGGGAAGTTGACCTAATATTCAGAATAACAGGAAGAGGAAGAATCGGCGCCGATGGCTTGGCATTCTGGTACACCAGTTCCAAGGGAGCTTACAACGGAACCGTTTTCGGTAGTTCAGATCAATGGAATGGTCTTGGGATATTCTTCGATTCCTTCGATAATGATAACAAGCACAACAACCCATACATCATGGCAGTGATTAATGATGGGA